AATTCTTCAATGCAGGAATTTCTTCTACAAAGCCAGGGTGAGTATTACTCACAAGCTAGGAAAATAAAATGGGCATCCACAAGTACAAAATCGGCACTTTGTAATGGAAAATTACTTATGTAACAAGGGCTAATAATTTGAGCTTTGATAACAAGGATGATGATAAGGCAAAAGGGCAAATCTTCAGCTATGGTTTGCAAATTATTCTTTTCAACGAGAGCGGGCAAGCGGGAGCAACAGTTCCTTCCCCCCTCCTTCCTCTCTCTCTTCGCCCCGCAAAATTGTTAATAATTATTTTTACCCCTGTGAAATTTCAAAATTTTATTAAAAAGTCCTTTTCTCGCACCATTAAAATTTTGATTTAATAGCATATATTTATATTGCCTACCTTGATGTTTATGCTATTAAAAGTATTAATTTCCACTCTTTTAAAGACTTATATAAAGTTTTAATTTTCAATATTTGCAGGATGCTCCCATTCTCATAAATTCCAGACTCCATCACTATATATCTCACATATGCTTCCTTCTATTTTTTATTGGTTTATATTATAGTCTAGTACTCCATGTGCACTATAGTTTTGACATTAATAAAAATTCTTAATCTTAGGGTTCCAAAAAGAAAAGAAAAACTCCTATGTATTTAAATTTTTTATATCTTCATTAAATAGAATCCAGGACATTTGGAGTGTGATTCTAGGAAAGAAAATGAAGAATATAAAACAACTATCAAAGAATTCAACTGAGAGATTGACCATAAATGATTGATTAATTAGCAAAACACTAGTTGTAGCCACAACAAAAGTGATCATCTTGTTTCTTCTTTTTTTTTTTCTTTTTCTTTTACATGTATAACTCTTTTTCTTTTTCTTTTTAATTTATTTTGTTTTCGCTCATTTTATTCAACAAGAAGTGATCGTAAAGTATCTTGTACGACATGTTATCTAATTCGTGGCGGACAATAGAAGTATAGAAAATGAGTTCACAGTTTAATTACAATCAAAATTTTATCGTAGTTTATACACAAAACTTGTTCCAAATTGTTTTTCTGTCGTAGTCACGTAAAATGATTGAACGTATTAAACAAACAAAAGTGGTTGAATTAAATTAGTTGCAAGTATTTACTATCAGACAAGCATCCACCAAATTCGAGCACCTTGTTTCATAACGAGCAAATCAGCTAGTCTAGAAATGAAACATGGAGCCAAGTCCAACGTTCTTGCCTTAGCTTCCAAGATCTTGCCTGAATTTGCACATAAATATTACTAGTACTAGTTGTAGCTGTTCCAAGAACAGCTTATAACTTTAGTTTTAGTTGCAATAAAGCAGAAGGCAGACCAGAAGTACAAATTTCAGATGGAAACTGCTAAACTTTGCCTTAAAATTTCCAAAGATGGCAAGACGTTAACTTGAAAGTAGCCTCGTTCGTCCAAGCATAGCATGCACTTCAAGCCAACCGCACAACTTGCAGCCGACAAGTTCTCGTGTAATCAAACAATTCTACGCACCGCAAACTACAAAGTATGGAAATACTTCCTGTTGTTTGTGCCGCATGCTTTTCAAGCATTTGAACTCTTGAGCCGTACAAAGTATCCTATTTATGTCAAATTAAGGGGGCGCTTGGTTCAAGTTTAGGAATTGGAATTGTAATTGGAATCATACAAAAAAACTTTAGTATGGGTTTTGGACAAAGGTATGATTACAAATGGGGGTGCTTGGTAAATATTGGTAAGGAATGGGTATCAAATTTAATAATCAATTTTTTACCTTTAATTTCTTTTTTCTTTTCATATCTTTCTTCTTCCTCGTTCAAATGCTTATCCCACATACTCATCCACCATATATATATTCATATATAAATATTAATTATCTGTTTAAAATATATTTATAAATATATTTATATTTATATTTATATAAATAAATAAATATATTTATTTATATAAATTTATAAATATATTTATTTCAATTTTGTTTTATAATATGTATATTAATATTTATTAATATGTATATTTCAATTATGTATATTATATATATTATATCAATTAAAATAAATAATATATATTTATATATAAATATTTTTGTTTAAAATATATTTATAAATATTTATAAATTTATTTATATTTATATTTATATAAATATATGTGTTTATATATATTTATATAAATATATTTATTTCAATTTGTATATTTCAATTAATATTTATATTTTATTATATATAAATTATATTAATATTAATATGTATATTTCAATTATGTATATTAGATATATTATATCAATTGAAATAAATATATATATTTATAAATATATTTATATAAATATATAAATATATATTTCAATTTTTTTTATAATATTTATATTAATATATGTATATTAAATATATATAAATATACATATAAATATATATTAATATACATATTATAAAATAAAATTGAAATAAAAAATATTATATTTAAATAAATAAATATTAATATATAGAAACAGAGCCAGTATATATTTAAAAAAAAATCTCAAAAATAAATTTTTTTTTAAGATTTGGGAATCAAATGTGGGATTCATCAAAACCCTCCAATCTACTTGGGTATTGAGAGTGGCTGATTTTTCATGAATCATTCCGAGATTTCAAAACCTATACCCATTAGCCAAGCAACAATTTTGGGGTTCAATCCAATTCTTGATTCCTATACCCTCCAACCAAGCACCCCCAAAGCTTCGTCCACTTTGTTTGCCCACAAAAGTTGAGATCTTATATGCTAATTGAACCCCATTATTTAACAAGTCGTATGCAGAAAAGAATAGCTAGGTAGGTCTACCGAGCGAGCAGGGAAAGAAGTACGAAATAAACCGTGATTCAAGGCAAGCTTCCTGTTCAGAAAATTGAATTTTAATCGATCTGAAAAATCGAAACAAGTTTCTTTCTAATGCAGATACATGGATGGGCCTGAGAAAGAAGTCTCAGATACAGCAACCATTGCAATAGACAGGCCTGGCTACAAAATCAGTGACTCTTACAAGGGACAACTACTGGCTAGACGCAGAATTCAAGTCCAATTTCAATTAATTAATACACAGCACTGAAATTCTTTTTGTGGCTCCGTATTCCAGAGTCTATAGAGTGCTCCAATTTGGCCTCCATCGAGGACGTTTCTCAATCTCCAAAGCTTCGTATGGATGTAGATAGTAGCAGCAGTACTTCTCGCCAGAGATTGATAATTTGATATTGAGAAACTGTCATTTCTTAAACAATACAAATGCCCATCTCAATAGATTCTAATAGCGAAGTTTGTTGATAATCCAACCATTAAGTACTCTATTTATGAATTTCATAATGCAAAATATATATATATATATATATATTCACACACACACACATATATATACACACATACATAAAACAGGCTTTGCTGGTGCCTAGACCACAAGCTGTCAGAGCATCAGTGCCTAGAATTGAACGGCTGAGGAATCGTTGCTTGTTTCATGCTATGATATCTACCTACTAGATAAGAGAACAACTCAAGTTCTCCCTTGAATGCCAAGTGTCAATATATTGTTAGAGGAAGGAGTTAGGAAGGAGTTTGTTTTCTGATTTTTGGGATTTAAAGAGTGAGAAATGCCTATTTGAGCCTTGGTCTTGAAATTAAAGGTCTTAATAGTTCCTTACTATTTAGGGGCTAATTGGTAACAATGGTTTAATTATTTTTATTTGTTCATTTTGTTTTGTTTTTAATTGGTTTGAAAGGTCAATTGAATCCTTTTATGAAAACTACCTCATTAAATAGTTGCTAACTATTTAGGGTTATTTTTGTATATTTGAAAATATATCTTTTATAATTTTCTGGTCAGATGTAAATAATTGTAGACTATTTGGACCTTTTTATCACATGGGTTGTTTTGAATTACATTATATAATACATTATATAATTATTTTCATTTGTTCATTCTGATTGGTTTTTAATTGATTTGAAAGGTCAATTAAATATTTTTATCAAAACTAGCTCATTAAATAGTTGCTAACTATTTAGTGTTATTTTTGTATATTTGAAAATATCTCTTTTATAATTTTCTGGTCAAATGCAAATAATTGTAGACTATTTGTGGGTTTTTTTATCACATGGGTTGTTTTGAATTACATTATATAATTATTTTTATTTGTTCCTTTTGATTGGTTTGAAAGGTCAATTGAATCTTTTTATGAAAACTAGCTCATTAAATAGTTGCTAACTATTTAGTGTTATTTTTGTATATTTGAAAATATCTCTTTGATAATTTTCTGGTCAAATGCAATAATTGTAGACTATTTGTGGATTTTTTTATCACATGGGCTGTTTTGAATTACATTATATTATTAATTATATAATTATACAAATTAATGCAGTCATACCCGTTAGAAGTAATGTTCCTGCCTGTTAGCATGATTAGTATGACTGATGACTCATGATGTAAGTTAGTCAACAGTAGCTTAATGGTCTTATTAGTCATCGAGCTTCCTTCTTCTTCATTTACCAGAATTTCCTTCCCCCTTTTGCCCTTTCCCTTTTTTCCCGTCGAATAGCCTCTTTCTTTCTCTCAAATAGCCGCTTTCTTCCCGTCGAATCAGCCTGCAAAATTTTCAGTTTTCTACCAATTCCTTCAACAACCAATTGTCCTTCCTTTTGATTGCAACCCACAAAATCCTCCACACGCACGTGAATTTTTGTCCTGCCCCAAAAATTAGGTCAGTAAAATTTTTTCCCCCCAAATCTAGAAGCCTGCAAAATCTTTAATTTTCTGTCAATTCCTCGAGCAACTAATTGTACTTCCACCAACTAATTGTACTTCCTTTCGATTACCTCTCAAAAAATCATCCACATTCGCGTGAATTCTTCTTTTTCCCCAAAAAACAGCTCACTCAAATCTCTTTTTTCCCAAAATTAGCTCATTTTAGGGATGGCTGTTCTACCGCCTTATCATCTATGCTATAGCTTTCAGAACTTACTATTTCCAGCTCTATATATACACCTCTGTTTCCCAGTTTTGCCGGTATTCAGCAGACGAGCAAAGAAAATCTAGGTAATTCATATTCTCTTTCCTTCTATTTCGAGCTGCAATTTTTTAGTTTTAGTTTGATGACTGAGCTGCAAATTTTAGTTTGAGCAACTAATTTTAGTTTCTGTCAATTTTTCAGTCAGCATATTAAGTTGCAATTTTTTAGTTTGATGAATGTTCTTACCTTCTGTTTATTTATTATTTATATTTATTGCCATGTTCTTACCTTCCGTTAATTAAAGACTGCCATGTGTTTGATATTATAAATAAAAGAATAATTATGATGCTATTTTTTCGATTAGCTTACGTTTACTTTTTTTCTCTGTTTTTATATTATTTTCAAATGCTGCCGGACTTTTGCCAACATTCAGGCGAGCAAAGAAAATATAGGTATGTTTCTATTTTATCACCTTCTATTTTGAACTGCAAGTTTTTTTTTCACTGTTGTTGCCTCTGTTTATTGCTTTCTCTTAATTAAGGAATGCAATGTGTTTGATGTTATGCTATGATAGTTTACTTTTCCCTCTGTTTTTTATTTCAAATGTTGCATGATGCTGTTAGCTGCTTATCTATTCAATAATTACATCATTTAGTATCATTGTCCTTTGGCTTATTAAGGTTGTCATTTTATATCTATTACTTAGTTTTAGCTATTTTAGGATGCTTTGATTCTGTCATTTTGTGTGCCTTTGGATTAGCATTTTGCTTTGTTTATAGTCAAATTAGATTTTGATTTTTTGTGTTTCAAAATGAAAAAAAAAAGAAAATTTAGTACAGGTTTTAGATTGATAGATGAAATGTTTGATGATTCCCCTGATCTAAGAATGTTGGAAAGAAACAAAAAGACAAACTTAAATATGCTGACTTAAATAAGCTTCAATTGTTCACACCAAGCACAAAGTTGGTACTTGAAGAAATTGCTGGAGCCAGTTCTTACAAAGACAGCCAGACATCTGCAACCAGTGGAGCAAAACGAAGCCTTGAGTTTCCAGAAGATTTACCAGCAGACACACATGCTAAACATCCAACAAAGGCTCCTGAAGAGTTTGCCAAAGAACTTGCAAAACTGTATGGTCCACCTGCAAATATCAAAGACAGTCCAACCAAGAAAGCTAAAGCAAAGGAAGACTAATATGGCCTATTTCTGTACTTTTGTTAAATCTTTTGTTCATTGCCTTTCCTCCATTGCTTAGACAATATCTTTTGAATTATATTATGATCCATTATTCTTTTGACTTAAAAAGTAATGGATCGTAATATACTTAGTAATAGTTTAACCATCAATGTTGTACTTCATTAGGCAATGAAGCTTATTTAAGTCTCCTAATATGTAACTGTGGCTGGCATCCAAGTATCTATTCTACTAAAACATGAATGATTGAGTTTATGTAATGTATTATTGTGATTTGCATAGTATTTATCTCTTGAGCCTATATATACATGATGATGTTTTAGGAAATTATCCTCATTGTTACGGATTAAGCTGTTCATACCAGTGGGTAGGCCGCTGCATAGCGCGGCCAGAACCATGGTAGTCTGTAAATATTATGCTAGCATTCTATCTAATATTAATGTAACTTATATTTTTTGGAAACAATTAAATGGTTCTCAAACTTTCAAACGGTTGTTGTTCCTTTCTTTTGACAGACTATTAGAATCCCTGTTTCAGAGATTTGTAAGCATCGTTTCCATACCATGTATACAAGAAGGAAGCGAGCTTTAGTGATTTGCATCCTTGATTGCCACGTGGCATCCCAATAGTTTCACAAGTTGCTTGCTAATATTTTTTGCACATTGTTATTCTTGCCATTGCACATTGATAATTGGGAATTCGATAAAAAAAAACTTGATAATTTGAAAATTGATTTTTTTAAGACTAATATCTAATTACCGTCCAAACCTTAGTTTGATAAATTGATTCGGAGAACCGGTAATTCAGTAATATCCGAAACGCGAAATATCATTAGTGAGTTAAAATATTTTAATTTTCTCTAAAAAATTGTTGTGACAGAATAATATCCTGTATGTTTTTCTAATAATGTTCAATCAACTCAAACAAGCATGATATGCAAAAAAAAAAGAAAAAATAGAAGGTTCATAATCCCAAGTCCTAACTCATAATCTCAATTCTTAAACAACATTGAAATAAACAAGAACTTCAAATTTAATTGTTAAGCTAAACTCCAACGTATCAAGTTCCATTAAAATTGTACTTCCAAGTATAGTTATAGTTAAGTTAACTAATTAGTATTTAGTGATAGGATTAAGGTTTACTCTTATATTTAGTTGGATTATTATCACTTTACCCCCTTAAATTATATTACTATTATCAGTTTACCTCCTAATATTATCTTTTAGTCACTTTACCCCCATAAGTAATTCAACTCAACATGTTAAGAAATTTTGGACAAAAATACCCTTTTATTTTATAGCATTACTACATTGTTATTATCACTTTATTCGTTTGGATTATAGTGATACAATCACTTTAGTTCCTTACATTATTTTCTAGGCATTTTACTTCATCATTAATCTAATTAGTATGGTCCAAAAATTTTAAATATATTTACCCTTTTTATATATAATTAGAAATAAAAAAGTCGGAATGATTATTCTTTATTTTTTTTTTCACTTTAAGAGATTGAAAAATATAAAAATAAAAGGGTTTTCTCAAATTTCCTTTTTCACATTTATTAATACTAGGAAAAGAAAAAGAGATAGGAAAGAAAGAGACAAAAAATTAGATTTTGCAAAAAAAGAAAATAAGAAAAGTCTAACATTATCGTATTACTTTAAGATTGTCGGAATGAGAATTGGAATTTGGTGGTAAACAAAAAAGTGAAATAATTTTAAAATAATAAAATTAATTTATTCTTTCTTATTTGTAATTTTTAAAAAAAGAATTGAGCTCTCGCTCTCGCTCTCCCCCTCCCCCTCTCCATCTTTCTATTTTTTTTCAATATTAATAAGATTGTCAAGAAGAAAGAAATTAATACTTTGACTTTTTTTCTTGATACTAAAAAGGAGAAGAGTCACTCTAAATTTTTTATTATTTTTATTATGCAAAGAGGAGGGTATTTTCCTCTAAAATTTTTTAACTTGCTAAGTTGGTTTAATGGTAGAATAAATTGCCTAAAAAATAACTCTAGGGGTAAATTGATAATGAGACTATATTTTATGGAGGTAAAGTAATAATAATTTTAAGGGTTAAACATGTCTTTTCACTTTAATTAACAAACTCCGTTAAGTTTGACCGTTAGTTTTGGGGATAAAGTGACTAAAAGATAATATTAATGTTAAGGAGGAAATTGATAGTAACACCAAACGTTAAGGGGTAAAGTGATAATAACCCTATTTAGTAATATACATAAGTATGCATATACTCTACTTTGGCCCCTTCCATCGATTTTATGCGAAAGAATGATTTTCACTCAATTGTTCTTGAAATTCTAAGTGGGCATGTGCTCTGCACCTGAAGTCTGCTTTTTCTACTCTAGAACAAGGATGCTACATGGCATCCCTTTCGATCCCGAATTTGCAACTTGCTATAAGCCATTTGCAAGTGCTATTCTCCGGTATACAATGCATGGGTTTGGGCCTAAAATACATCATGTCAGATGAAATAGCCTAAACCATGGCCCTATGTATAATTCTTGAATGTGACCCATGTAAAACAAACAATCGTTATTATTACGAAGAAAAAGAAATTTGCGTTGCTTGATATCGTCTAATCATGAACTGACATAAAAAATAGGGGGATATGCTCCGTACAGTTTCTAATTAATTAGTAGTATTTTTTTACAAAAGTTGCCAACTTCAGCCGCAACCCTAGGAATCCATTTGCACAAGAAACTATCAATCCTTAAACAGCAAATGGTTCCATAGGAACACTAGTAGCGTCAACATGTACTGGATACGGGAACTATATTTGGACATATACTCGATAGAGGAACAATGGTCTATTTCCATTGATTTAGTGGTACTTCCCCCACTATCCCAACCAAACCCTCCCCCCCCCCCCCCCCAAGCAGTACACACAGTTGAAGATAAAAGTTATTCGAACCTTTATTACACCTGCATGTTGACATTTAAATTAGATCATTAATTACCTTTTACCTCAGTTTCATCTTTTTTAATGTGCAGAAAAAGGGTTAAATTGGATGGTAAGATTAGAGAAATTACAAATAAGAGACTCTGAATTCAAAATTTTTCACTTATAAAAGAAAAAAAAAGGTTTTTTATGAGTAGAGTGTGAATGTCAAACTCATTGTTGAACCATTTTTTTTAAATCCTAGTATTGACAGTCCGCAAGTTCAATTGATGCAGGGATCACGGAGCAAAATATCGGACCTTAATGAGTTCACACTCTAGACTAGAAACAGAAAGTCATTCTAGTTGAAGTCTTGCAGCATTTGACGGGAACTAAGAACTCACTAATGACCAATCATAGTTTATTAGATTGGGTAGGTAAGCCTTCGCAGTTCTCATCTCTCCCCCGCATGTGCCTCCTGGTAACATTTTTTGAGCTCCCATGAGTAGTTATCCTCCTGGGGAAGCTTCATTAGAGGGAGGATGCATCCATGAAACTAGTCTAGAAAGGTAAGAAAATCAATGAAAGAGACCAGGTTGCAAATTCATTGTTCTTTCCAATGATTAAAATTACTCAAAGTAGTCATGCCCATGTTAAACCACATGTCAGTTTGGAATCACTGATTTAGCAGCTAAAGTTATTAATTAATTAGACTGTGGAATGGAATTTGGATCTAGTCTAGTGTTTCATTGTTTGAAAAATTCCTTGATGCACTTTGGATGCTAACTCCATGCTTTCTTCCTCTATCATGGCCCAAGCCTCCATCTGCCCTTTCCCACAAGCATTGAACTTTGCCGACACCATAACATTTTTCTAGACTTATAACCAAATACATTGACAATGAAATGTAACTTATTTGGTAAGACCTTCACCTGCGACTACGCATATCAATGGATCGGGTCTTACCCAAATTCAATCCAAACCCATTATATTTAGGTAGGGTTTGGATTTAATTTCTCAAATTCAAACCTACCCAGACCCAGACCCAGACCCTGTGAGAGAGTCGTGAGTCTAGGTAGGGTTTGGTTTTCTAGAATCCATATTTAAATCCAGACTCATACCAGACCTTACCCAGACTCATATATATTTAATTAAATAATATATATTAGTAAATTTATAAAATAATCTAATATTTTATAGCTATTGGCTTGAATACAGTAAGATTTTATGGCATCAGAATCTGCATTTAGTGTTGGTGATTGGGTGATTGATGAGACTCGTGCCAAATTGCTTCTAGATATGGTTGAAATATTAGTGACTACTGATGATTGGATTAAATCAAAGAAAAAATGAATAAGTGTTTGTAAATCTTCTTATTCTATTATTTATTTGTCATCTGTCCTTAATTAAATGACTTTTATCTCATTCACTATTTTAGTGCTGGATTGCGAGACATCTACCAACATTGATGTTTAAATAAGAAAAAGAGGTACAAAATTACATTTTTTTAATAAGATAAAATATTTATATATGTTATGGTTGTTTTCTTTTTTAAAAACTAATCCTAGTTGTCATTGTAATTTGTACAAACTTTTTTAAGAAAAGGAAAAAAGATAAAGGCAAACAAATGAAATATTGGATATGGATGCAATTAAATCTTTGAAAATATATAGAAGTAGTCAATAATAATTCTTTCTTTGAGTTCACAGTATTGCATTCAACTTGTCGAATGTTAATTTTATTATTTGTAAACAAAAATTGGATGGTATTTATATTATTTATGAACTCTATATATTTTAAATATAATTTTGTTTTAGTATGTTCAGAAAATACCCATGGATACCCAAATCCATAAGGGTCTGAGTATGAACTTACTCTTTCAGACTCAAAAGGGTTTGGATTTGGGTCTGGATCTAACTAAATTAAATGGGTTTGGATCTGGATCAAAAGGATCCAAACTAGACCCTACCTATTGACATGCCTACTTGCGACCAAATGGTCCTCGGATTCGAGTTGTTAATAAATAAATGACAATTGGCAATTAATCAAATCTTTAATGAAAAAAATTGTATGTACAAGATTCAAGATTCATCTTGTGTGCTTTTTTCCGGGAAGTGGGGAGGGGGGGGGGTGGAAATTGGTATGCATGGTAAACAAAAATTGGTTTTTTAAAGAGGGTATTGGATCTTTATGGGGAAATTTTACTTAGAGTC